ATAAATGTCCTAAGGAAGGATGAGATGTAGAGGCCACTGGTGATATGGGTGTCTTAGATTTAGAAGGGGTGTGTAGAGGGAAACCTGAAGAGTACTGGGGTGTCCTGGAGAGTGTTGGAGTATCAGGAGGATAAGAGTTTTGAATGGTAGAAGGTAAGGAAGTTGGAAGTGTATGAAGATTCACTGGATGTGCAGGTACATGTGCCAAGGTTTTAGTAGGGAAAATGTGAATTGGAGAACTAGTAGAAGAAAAAGGGAATACAATCTCATGAAACACCACATCTCTGGAAACAAAAATTTTCTTAGTTTCCAAGTTGAGCAATTTATAGCCCTTTTCCCCAAAAGGATACCCCAAAAATATGCACTTGATAGCCCTAGGATCCAACTTGGATCTATGTACTAGCAGGGTAGAAGCATAACAGAGGCATTCAAAACTTTTTAGATAGTCATAAGAGGGAGGTTTTCCATAGAGTACTTCATAGGGAGTTTTCATTCTCAGTATCTTAGAAGGGAACCTATTTATTAAAAAAATGGCCGTTAACAAGAATTCTTCCCAAAATTGAACTGGTAAATTTGACTGGTAAAGAAGAGCTCTACATATTTCAAGTATGTGCCTATGTTTTCTCTCAACAACACCATTTTGTTGGTGAGAGGAGACACAACTAGTTTGATATACAATACCCTGTGAAGAAAGAAACTGTGAGGTTTGGTGACTGTTTCCAAGTTCTAAAGCATTATCAGATCTGATGACTTTTATTTTGGATTGAAACTATCTTTCTATCATGCTAATAAACTGTTTAAGAATTGTGAAAGCATTGGACTTAGTACTAAGAAGAAAAGTCCAAGTCCCTCTGTTATAATCATCTACTATGGTCAAAAAATACATGAACCCATCATGAGTCTGTGTTTATAAGACCCCCAAGTATCCACATGAATTAGATCAAAGATTTTCTTAGAAGAAATGGAAATAGTGGGAAAAGGGTAATTTAGTTTGTCTAGCTTTAGCACAAACATCACAAGGCAAAATATCAGGAGAACTATTAGAACAAGAGATAGAAGGAATATTTCTCCTATTAGAAAATGGGATATGATCCAATCTGTTGTGCCAAAGGCTTACATCAGTAATAACATCTCCTAAAAATAAACTAGAATTTGAAAATTGATTGCTAACAATATTCTTGGAAAGAGAACTATTAGTGACCCTATTACTACGATTAACTTCACCTCTAGGCTTGACTTGACTTGAGGTGGTCTGATTGTATGCAACAGATATAATCCCTGATTTAGCTTACCAAGCACCTGTGATGACCTTTTAGGTCATCACTTGTTTTAGAAATGATTCTGCATTCTAGGGTCTTAAAAACCTCTTTCAATATCACCTCGATTTGCGTGCGCAGTCCGGGCACGTAGCTGAAAAGCCATTATGTGAAAAATGTTGAATTTTGACTTTAAAATGAATTAATTTGACTTCGGTCAATATTTTGGGTAAACGGACGCGGACCCGTAATTTGACGGTCCCGAAGGGTCCGTAGGAAAATATGGGATTGGGCGTATGCCCGGAATCGAATTTCGAGGTCCCAAGCCTGAGAAATGAATTTTTAAAGAAAATTATTTTCTGAAATTATTTATGAGTTTTGGAAATGAAAAGTGTTTAAAACTTGATGGTATTGAGACCGTATTTTAGTTCCGACGCCCGGTACAGGTCTTATATGTGATTTAAGATAAGTTTGTGAGGTTTGATAAGAAACGGACTTGAAACGACGTGAATCAGATCGTTTTTGAAAAAAGTGGAAAATTTGAAGTTCTTAAGAAATTTCATGACTTTGATGCTAAATTCATAGTTGTTAATGTTATTTTAGTGATTTGAATGCACAAGCGAGTCTGTATAATGTTTTTAGTTTGGTGTGCATGTTTTGTTTGGAGCCCCGAGGGCTCGGGTGAGTTTTGAATAGGCCACAGATTAAAATTTTAACTTAGGGAATTGCTGGTATGCTACAGGCTTGCAGGCTTCGCATTCTCGCAAATGCGAGCTCGCAAATGCGAGATGTGGTCTGGCTGCCTTCTTCGCAAATGCGAAGTGACTGTCGCAAATGCGACAACTGCCTGGAATCCCCCTTGGTCGCAAATGCGAGACTTCAGTCGCAAATGCGACATTGCATTCGCAAATGCGAACTTAGCAGAAGTCCGGGTTCGCAATTGCGAACCCTGGTCGCAATTCCCATATCTGCAACCTGCAATTTTATAATTTAGCCAAAAATCTTTATTTTTCACGCTCTTTCAAAACCAAAACACTCTTGGGCGATTTTTCAAAGACAACTCTTCTTCTAAATCGATTGTAGGTCAATTTTAACTCGTTTCCTTCAATCATTAACATCTTTTCACATGATTTCAACTCAAAATCAATGATTTTCGTGGGGGAAATTGGGTGTTTTGAGTAGAACCTAGGTTTTTCCCTCGATTTGAGGTCCGATTTCAAAACAAATTATATATGTGGGTTCGTAAGGGAATGGGTAATCGAGTTTTGGTTCGAACCTCGAGTTTTGACCATGTGGACTCGGGGGCGATTTTTGACTTTTTGGTTAAAACTTTGGGAAACTTATTTTCATGCATTGGAATGTATTCATTTAACATTTATTGATGTAATTAAGTAACTTGTGGCTAAATACGAGCGAATTGGTGGTGGAATCAAGAGGTAAAGCGATAGTAAAGGTTTGAATTATGTTCGTGCCATCGAGGTAAGTGTTTGGTCTAACCTTAGCTTGAGGGATTAGGAGTCGTGTCTTATTTGCTACGTGTTAATTGTGTACGACGTATAGGGATGGTGACGAGTATCTATACGTTGGTGTCAAACATGCCCGTGAGTCTTGTATTGTAATTATTATAACTCCATTGTGGTTTATTGCGCTTCACATGTTATTATCATTATTGTTCCCTTGCCAGGATGTTATTATCATTACTGTTCCCTTGCCGGGATATTATTATCATTATTGTTCCCTTCCCGAGATGTTATTATCATATTATTGTTCCCTTGCCGGAATGTTTGTTTTGATATTATTGTTCCCTTGTCGGGAACATTTTGTGATTGGGGTTGATAAAAGAAATGGGAGCGGGCTGCACGCCTCAACAAGATATGTGAAATGGGAGCCGGTTGCACGCCTGCAACAAGATATGTGAAATGGGAGCGGGTTGCACGCCTGCAACGAGATACATGAAATGGGATAGGATTGCATGTCTGCAACGAGATATGTGAAATGAGAGCGGGTTGCATGCCTGCAACGAGATATATAAAATGGATGCGAGTTGCATGCCAACGAGATATGTGAAATGAGAGCGGGTTGTACGCCTGCAACGAGATATATGAAATGGGATCGGGTTGCACGCCTGCAACGAGATACATGAAATGGGATAGGATTGCATGTCTGCAACGAGATATGTGAAATGAGAGCGGGTTGTACGCCTGCAACGAGATATATGAAATGGGATCGGGTTGCACGCCTGCAACGAGATACATGAAATGGGATCGAGTTGCACTCCTGCAACGAGATGTGAAATGAAGGTGAACTCTGCATTTGTTTTCCCTATCCATGTTAGTAATTGGATTTTGGTTTCTTTATATTCTCTTGATATTCTGTTGTTATATATTATTCCCCGAAGCATGTTTTCCCTGCCCAATTTTAATTGCAATTATCTGCTTTTATTTCTGTTGTTTATGATATAACTGCACAGGTTTATTTGGTAGTCTGGTCCTAGCCTCGTCACATCCTATCTTTCCTTTATCCTGTTTCCTTTACTCATTTCAGAAACAGTGTGTATTTTATCTTTCAGACTTTGTATGTAGTATTCTTAGACCGTCTGTGAAGCTGTGACACCAAATTCTGGGTAGAGTTGTATTTAGACTTCCGCAACTTGTATTAAGATTAATTATCAAATTTTATCTCCCGCTTAATTATTTTCGCTATTGACATGATATCTACTCATCACTGATAAAGGTTTAAAACTGGAAAAGGTTAAGTAATTAGAATAATTTGGCTTGCCTAGCTTTCATCAGTAGGCGCCATCACAGCTCTCGAGAGTGGAAAATCCGGGTCGTGATAACACCACTGGCCTCTTCATTGAAGGGGTATTGCAAAGTAGCACCAAGAGAGGTAAATGCCAGGATAGAATTGAATTGTTTGCATAACTTGTGAACAGATAATAGATTGAATTTGAAAGTTGGAACAAATAAGACATGTGTAAGTGTGAAACCAGGCATGATGGTCACACATCCTGATTGTCTGACCAAAACTCTAGGAGAATTAGGGAGAGTAAGTGAGTAACAAACAAGGGTCTAGGAAGATCTGTAACATTAAACAAAAGGCTCAGATCTGAGATCATGTGTTTTGTAGCTCCTGAGTCTAAAATTCAAGAAACAGAGTTTAAAGATAGAAGAAATGAAGTAGAATGAGAATAGACACAGGTATACCAGCGCAATTCGCAGCTGCAATGTCCTCAAAAACTTGCTCCCCCTGTGTGCCAATTTTGACATGCTGAAGTAGCTGATAGAGACTGTGAAATTGATCCTGGGTCATAGTCTTATCTACTCTATTCACTCCCCGTCCTCCATTGTCATCAGTGCTAATTACATCATTTCTCTTGGCTCCAAGTGCAATTTTTTTGTTCTTAGTAAATTTAAAATCAGTTGGAAACCCAATAAGCTTGTAGCAATTTTCGACTGTGTGATTCAATTTCTTACAGTAAGAACAAAACTGAGCATTCTTCCTTCCATCTCCATATCCCTGAGTGTTTTTCTTTGGATTTGCATATCCCTTTTACCAGAAATGAATTTTTGACCAAAATATTGCTGTTTTGCAGCTAAGAAAGCAACTTCTCCGGGTGTTGTGAGATCTGAACCTCTCTATGCTTTTCATCCCTGATGAGAAGAGAGTAAGCATGGTTCACAGAGGGTAGAGGTGAAAGCATCAACAAACTACTCCTTGGTCCAGAATATGAGTCATTCAGTTTCATAAGGAACTGGATAAGCCGTCATCTTGTTGAGATTTGAAGGTGTTGGCCTTGTCACCACAATGGCAGTCACAAGTACAGTGTTGACATGTATCTAAGTTGTCAAGATTATCCCAGAGCCTCTTCAGCTTAGTATAGTACCCTGCAATGTCCAAGTTCCCTTGAGCTAGCTCACTGATTTGTTTTTGTAGGTGATAGACCTGAGGACCATTGCTTTGGCCAAACCTTTCCTCAAGCTCATTCCAGATCTGCTGAGAAATCTTAGAGTAGAGTACACTCTCTGCTATCTCTTTGGAGAGTGCATCCAACAACCAAGATATCACCATGTCGTTGCAGCGAGCCCATGATTTGAAGGAATCAGAGGAAGTTTTAGGTTGAGAAATGGAGCCATCAATGAAGCCAACTTTATTTTTGGCTAATAAAGCAATAAGTATCTCTCTGCGCCAGCCTCCATACCCTTTTCCATCGAAAACAGTGTTCACAAGCAGCATTCCTAGTGAATCTGAGGGATGGAGATAAAAGGAATGACTGGGGTCAATAGCAGTTTTTCCAGCATCAGTCCCAGCAAGATCTGTGACTTGGGCTATGCTTGAAGAAGAAATAGATTTGTCATCCATTGAAAAGGAAATATAAAGGTCTCAAAAAAATGAAGAAGAGGAAAGCAAGAGCTAAAAGAGTCGTGCTCTAAAGCTCTGATACCATGATGAAATTGTAAACGGAAGACGTGAATTGTAGAAAAATTCTTTCTTCTGATGATCTTTCTCAATGATTTGTACAAGTATATATACAGTTTAAAATAAAGAAAAGAATATTCCTATGTATTCCTCTTTGTCCACCTGTCTAATTTCTCCTTGTTATTGTATAACAAACTAACTACCTATGAAGATAAATACAAGAATAATATTTACAGCTTAAATTATTCTAAATCCCCACGTGTATAATTTATTTATCTAGAGTCTTCATAGGTTCTGTCACATGAACGCTCATGATTTAATCCATCAAGTCAATAAGGAAAGATGGTGATTAATTTAGTCTACAAGATATACTCTTTCCTTGTAAAGTCCGAAAACACTTAGCTTCCTTGTCTGAAACGTGAGCTTTGCTTTCTCTGTTCTACATCTTCATTTTATCATCTTCTGCATTTATGTTTCTCTAAAAATCATCACCATTTTTCACCAAATTAGAAAATCTTACACCAACAATATCACTATTAGACCTAGCTCCTATGAGCTTTACAAAGGAAGGTGAATCCTATGTGTCCTTGATGAGTTACAACTCAAGAAAGGAAAGGCATTAATAAATGTTGTATTATTATCCTAATCATTTATAGTAATATTATATATTTTTTAAAAAATACTTATATATGTGTGTGCATCCAAGCTCAAAGTATTATATGATACAATTGTTATCGGGTGCACCTCTCTAAGTAAGATTGTGAGTGCATGTGTTGTGTCAATCTCGTTGTTCTTTTTCCCCTAGAACTAGACGCCCACGGGAGATGGACATGTCTTGGGTCACTTTTTATCACCATAAAGTTCAACATATCCCAATATTTTCAACACAAATTATAAATATAGAGGTAAGAAATTTTTTATTTAAAAAATTAATTTTGAACTTATAATTCCAAAAGTATAATGTGTGCAATAGTAAGAACTAAATGTTGAACCTGTAAAATTTATATTTTGGATTTATCTCTTTATAATAGTGCATCCATTTGCCCAAAATTTTGAATCAGCCTCTCACTCCAAATCAAGATATATAACACTACGATGAAAATAAATAAATATATAACACTACTTTTTCTTTAGAAGTTCTACTAAATTCCGTGTGTTTTACTTAATTGCGTATATTCAAATGACACTACTAATTCTTCTTTGGCAATTATACTAAATCTGTTTGTTGACGTGGACATTTCGCAGACTTAAATTATCGCAAAATCTAGCTATCCAATTACCATTTCAAACAGTGATAGTTTCGTTCTCAATTTATTACTAATAGATATGATTTGTATAATTTTTCAATATTATAATATGTCTCCACAACATGTAATGGAAATTTTAGTCTTGTTGAACTTCTCAGGAAGAGAAATCGGGCAAGAAGTGTTTTAAAATGGAATTTTATAGTCTAAGTAATGATTAATAATTCAAGTACTGAAAAACCTTCCACCACATTCAAGATAAGTACTAGGAAAACAGAAAAAACAAAACAGGCAGAAGTAGAGGTCTCTAAATAATTGAAACTTTGGCACACATCACATCCTTGTTACATCACTTTTGTTAATTGTTTCAAAGGTTACATTATAGTTTTAATGAACTACTAATCTTAATATTGTTTGTCCTATTAATAAATGAATTAGTTCGATAAAGAAAAGATTAAGCGAATTGCTTAAAATTAAAAAAATTACATTATAAGTAATACATTCGGTCTGAAGGTGAAGGAGAAAAAAAAAAGCACAATGAATTCAATAGATAGAATGCATGCCTCTAATGATAATTCCTTTATTATTTTTTATCCGGTGTCCAATATTTATATTTGGATCCGATTAAATTCGAATTCACACCGAAAAATCCTACATTAAGGATAAAGCGCTCCTTTTGCTAGCCAATCATAAAAGAAGACAAGCTTACGCAACATCAAACCAGATAGCTTAGCTAGGTTTTTCACTCTAAATTGAAGCAATTAGGTAGCTTAAGATTTGGAATAATTATAAAAATTAGAAGAATTTATCCAAATAGCCGTCCAATTAATGTCTTAAACTAAAAATAGCCGACGAATGTATAATATATAGATTATATATACCAATTAGAAAAAGTAAACATTAAATCTGGCCGGCTATTTGTAGAACAATCCATCGTCTCACTATCTTTTTCTGCATGCCCTACTTTGAAAGATTGAACTAATATGAGATTGGTTATTTGCAATCCGCGACCTCAAGGTTATGAGACTCGAGCTATCAACTGCTTTACCCTGTGCTGAAGATAAGAATTGTAACTCAATGATTAAATAATTTAAAGGCATGTTAGCTGTCAATATGGCAGCACCTTTGCATGCTTAAAGTTTGAGATGTGTAAATATTTTAATAAATTATATTTTATCAGAATTCGAAAAGTGCTTCATAATTTGTTGGAATAAATTAGCAGATCCGCATATTCATTGGTCAGAACATGGAACTTTGGACGATTGATTATTTTATTTTCTCTTTCTATTCTCTTCGTCGACAATTAATATGTTTAGATTTTGTATCCCATGTAGTTTCACGTCCGAATTCATTATTCATATTGAGTCATTCCCATTTAAAGAGCAATATTCTGGCTTGAAAAATCAAGTCAATCAGATCTTGACCTATGATAAGATTAATTGAAAAATAAGAAATTAATGGGTAGGTAGAACCCCCTTCTATTAGTTAATTTCAAATAATCAGTAACGTTAGTTTTTGTACAGTAAAAGAACAACTTACACCCGTTCAATAACCAGATCAATAAATGCATGACATATATTTTTTATGTATACAACTTCTTGTTAGTTTTCTCTATTCAAAACTAGAAAATTAGATCGAAGACGTTAGTTTAAGAAAATAAAAAACAGAAAATGACCTTAGTGTTTGTAAGAAAGTTTCTAGATACGAAAAATTAACTGCGATTATAAAAACATATGAAATTTTCTTATTGATGAATCTTTGTCGGTACAATTATGTTTGCTCTCTTGATTCTTCTTTCTGAATTATTCTTCATTACTCGAGGGCTTAAGCAACGTATTTCTCAAACATAACATAATGCAGACTTTTGGGATATATTTGATCCCCATAAAAAGAAATAATGTCTTTTTATCATTTCAGCGACTTTGAAAAAGACTATATTTGATCTCTGAATATTTTATGAACGAAATTTCCTTACTTAAGTGGACATAGTCAGCAATGTTAGTTTTTCTGTAGTAAAAGAACTACTTACACACATTTATTGATAACCAGAATAAATTAAATGCATGACATGTGTTTTTATGTGAACAATTTCTTCCTATGTCAAGGATATTGTTTATTCTTACCTCAATTTAACATTTAATTACACTAAATATGTTATTTGGTTTTGTGTACGGTCAAAGTCGGGCTCGCTCTTTGTGTGACTAATCGAGACTGGAATATGATAGGTCAAGGTTCGACCTCATATTATATCGAACCATGGTGCAAAGTTATATCATCGAGTTCGTGACCCAGAGACCGATCAAGATAGAGACCGAGCAAGATCAAGGGAAACTTAACTAGCCAAATAACGGAAAGTCGAAATATCCGCAATCGGGCCAGGATCACGGCGGAAATCCCGACACGTATCAAGAAGAGGCCGATTAATTAGCTAATCATGAGATTTCTTACCTCATATAGAACTGTATCAAAAGTAGGACTCCCCTACTATATCAAGGGGGTCTGATCATTTGTAAAATACATCAATTTTACGTAACATAAAGCAATATATTGTCATTTTCTAGCTACAATTATCTTGTTACTCTGTTCATACGTCAGTTGAAACATCTTTGGTCAAGGGTGATCGAACTCGAGAGTCAAGGCTATCCGATTCGTGTAGTATGCATTTATTTCTTTTATCGTCAATTTTGATATTAATTTGTCTTCTTGATTTGTGCCAAGTTATATCACGTATCCTTAAAACCGCGTACAAATTCAATTGTTATCCGTTTTTAGGGTAAACAGTTTGACGCCCACTGTGGGGCTAAGGATAATAGTGGTTACCTGGTACAAACTTTCGTAAGACACACTATTTTACACTTGTTCTTTGAAGTATCTTTGATTACAGGACTAAAAAATGTCAAACTCTTAGTCAGCACCTCTACATATTGACAATGATTTCGGCAACCACGACGAAAATGATAACATAGCACCAGGGAACAATGTACCCCGGTTGACCTCGATGGAGTTTCGGCTGTAGATCCAATCGACGTCAGTTCACATGTAGCCATCAACGAAAATTTGGCCGTCCATCCCAAAGGCGACATCCGTGGGGATGCTCGATCAGCCGCTCAAAGAGCACGTGGTGGTGAAGATGGAGGAATCAGCTTGCAGGTGATCTTCAAAATGTTGCAGGCTCAGCAGACATCAATAGCCTAGCTCCAAAACTAGAATCACCCACCGAGCAGGGTCGAGCTCGAGCCGTCCCAGGAAGTTGTACACAGGGTCGAATGGGTTTCAAGAAAATCGAGCGAGAAAGAATCAGAGACCAATCCTGCAATCATGAAGATGCTCGAAGAACTGACAAAGTGAATTGAGTCAGGGGAAAAGAAGATCAAGGCAAACGACAAAAAGGTGAAAACTTACAACTCCAGGGTCGATCAAATCCCCCGGGCACTGCCAATATTGAAGGGATTGGATTCCAAAAAGTTCATACAAAAACCTTTTCCCCCGAGCGCGGCTCCGAAGCCAATCCCCAAGAAGTACCACATGCCCGAGATTCCTAAGTATAATGGAACGACGGATCCGAACGAGCACGTCACCTCTTACACATGTGCTATCAAAGGGAACGATCTAGAGGATGACGAGATCGAATCTGTCTTGCTAAAGAAATTCAGGGAGACCTTGTCAACGGGATCTATGATATGGTACCATGATTTACCA